GCAGGAATGATGGTGTTCTCTACTTTTTTGTCAAGGTGGGAGTGGAGACCTCTCTTCCAGCTTCATAAAATCTGGTCTTATGCAGATCCCATTATTTCCTTCAAAGAAGTGCATTCAGAAAACTTCTCTTTTACTTGCAGCTTCTACAGCATGGTGCACCAGATTTGCATATTTGTTTTGAATGGGATTTCTGCATTTTGCACATTAGCTGCCTATGAAGTGTCAGACCTGACACTACTGATCTTGAAAGGTCTTTGTAAGCCCTGACAATACTTGAGGATGCTTCTTCAGGAATATCTCCCTGATGCCTATATGTGATCACATGCCAGCTACCTTTTAGGGATGATGCAAAGGCATGTTACGTGTCCCTTGAGGTGTAATTGGCCAGTTGTGTGCCCTGGACAGTGATAACACAGGGTGCAGAAGCAGCAGCCAGAGAGTTACTGCTTTGGGATAGATTCCCCCCTTTTTTTGGGGCTGCTAATGTGTACAATGAATGGCCATTTAAAATGATTTTTGGTGGCAAAAAAAGGAAGTGACATCCTTCTCTGCTGCAGCAAACCTCCAGCTTCCAGCAGGATACCTGCTGCTCTGCCCTACCCATTGCCTACAACCATAGCTACTTCAGGGAAGGTGCAGGGGCGGGGGGACAGGCAGGAGGCTGGGGCACCCCACTAGTTAGTGTCCCTCCAGGTAGTTGCCAGGGCTCATGCCCTGCTCACCTACCCATCATTGTGCTACTGAGTACAGCAGCAATTATACCTGTGTGAGTGCTGAATTCTCAGATTCAGCTCACGTCAACTCTTCCCACTTAAAAAAAGGGGGGGTGGAGAGTATTTTCTTCTTCTATTCTTACTGGTCAGCTTCAGTCAGGTTTAGTTGTTTGAATTTTAGAGGTTGTTAAATATAATATTGTTGTAATTTAAAAATAAAGAGAAAAGTTGTAACGGTTATAAAACACTTTGATGGTCTCTGGAGGACAAGAACTGCTACATTAATAAGCTATTATAATTAGCCACACAGAAATCAAATTGATAAAAATGCTAGGCTCCAAGTTTGGTAAAAATGTGAATGGGATTTGGACTATGTATAATTAAAATATCAGATAAACAATAAGTTCATTTGGCCATAGATTCTTTGTTTTGCAACAAATGAACTATATGCATGATGCATTAGCCACAGGAGGGCTCCCCTGTTTTTCCCTGATTGCAAAGGAAACATATTGTGAATTATAGATCAAGGAAGAAGCACAAAACAAAGCTTTTCAAAACTACAATATTCCTGGCAACCTTCTGTAGAAAAGATGTTATGAAAATGAAAATGAATGTGATTTTTCTCCGTAATGGTAAAACAAAAAGAAAAGATTACATGCATTTCTCCACCTTTTAGATAAAGATTTTAATCACAAACAGCACACTTGTTAAAATAATTATTTGCTCCTGAAAGATAGACTGATTAGATTTGTCAGCAATGCTAGAGTCCCCTTCAAATTCTGTCTAGTAGCTGGAAATAATGGTATTCTTCCTCTGTAGATCAGTTCAAACCCCTCACGTGATTTTCAATTTTAACAGCTTCTCTTGAGTTAGTTCTAAAAATAGAAGTTAGGGTGGCACCTTATAGACTAACTCATTCAGAGAAGCATGAGGTTTCATGGCTACAGCCTAGTTTGTCAAATGCTGTGAACTGACTAATTAAAAGTAGTGATAGTCAGTCAGGCACCAATTCAGGAGAATGCTTAATTACATGCTTAATTTAAATCATATGCTTAGGTCTCAGTGATTTCAAGTGGGTTTGAGCACCAGTGCCTTTCTGAGTAGGGATGCTTTCAGGGCCATAAAAAGGAAAAGCACAGAGGTTATACATAGAGGAATAAGACAATACTGAGTACAAGAGAGAATAGTAACCAAGAGTTCTCTCTCACTAGTCAACTGCTGTCAGGAGAAAGCAACATTATCGTACTTGTACAAAATTACTGTAATTGGTACAAAATTATTATACCAAACCTGACAAACTCAGGTAAACAGTGAAGATATCGTTATAATAGGATGATCAACAGACTTCAAAGTCCTAACTGTGAAGTGATATATAATACCCCAACTCCCATGGAACAGTTATTTTCTTAAAAACTCACCGACACAAAGGCCTCTGCTTTTGTCTCATTCAGCTGCAGGGTTAATTTGTTCTGAGTATCATACACCCCATACAGTCTCTTAGACCAATTCGAAGGTATTTTACTCTTGTGTTTTAAAGAGCTATATAATGCAAAGATCCTTTGTAAATCTAGAACCAGGCAGCTGCAGTTGTACACGATGACACCGAGTTCTTTCATCTGTGAAATTAAAGTTCATACCATTAGCAATATATTGGTTGTCAAATGTATCTGTAGAAATATACAACAGCACAGAAAACATACTTTGGAATATATCTTAGGTTTATCATTTACATGTAGAAAAATATGCATCACGCTAAGATAAGAACAGTGGAGACTGTCAACAATATTATATTAAAGAATGTTATTAAAATAATGTTTTGTTTCAGGCACAAATATGGAGAGGGTATATAAGTTCAACATATTACTTTGCATTTGGGCACCCTAATGAAATAAATGCACTCCTGAAGAATTACTAATGAACAACATTTATTTGTGTCAGAATTCTGTCCATAGCATTTATTCTGTAGGTGCTGCCTTAGAACTGCTGCTCTTGGTATTTTTGCTTGTTTACAATAATAGCATCCAGTCTCTGCTGGGTAGCATGATAGCATGCTGTGCTATCAACATCAATTCCAGTTTCAGAAGCAATTTGTGTTTTGCAAGTATTGGGAAAGCTGAAAGAATCAGATTCGCATTAAAGAAAAGTAAGTTATTTCTCCACTAAAGAAAGGATATGAGGGTCAGGCTTTGCCCATGGTGGGTGCAGTGAAAAGCTGCACATTTATCTCTGTCAGTAGTTGAATTTGCAGTGGTCTTGGAAAACAGCATGCTCCAGCAACTGGGACACTGGATTAAGAGATGGCAAAAAAATGAGTTCTATTCCCTACTCTCCTGCTGCCTTGGCATGTGATCTTAACTGGGGCATTTCACTTCTTTGTGCCTCAAATTCTCATCTGTACAATGGGGATGAAGAGACTTGCTCTTTCCTTGACAAGCATTCTGAGATCTACATGTAGCAAGGACTGCATGGGCAAAATACTATTATTACTAGTTCCCATTCTATATATTCTGAATATAAAAGATACCATAGTAAAAAGAAATATTACAGACATGTCATATTCTTTTATTGGCACACACTCTAGCTTCTGCATTACCAGAAGGCAACACTCCCAGTTATCTTAATTTTCCTTTGGCACAGATTTCAAAATACACTTTTCTAACACTTAGCAAAATTTGATATAATTTCATCTAAGTATATCACATGCCTTCTGTTGTCTAATGGTAACAGCACACATTATCTCTCCCCTCATTTCTTTTATGATGGTCCAGGAAAGCATTGCTGTGTGTCATAGATGTTGTCAACCTCCTAGCATCTGCATTCCACACCAGTTTAAACATCTCCAAAAATAAAGCATTCATATATCTAATGGAAAATGGTATCTACTCCAGATTAATGTTGGAGGGTGGTTGTTACTTTCCCAGAATCACAGAGTAGAGAAAAACAGAGTAGCTAGTATGACAGGGTAAATAAGGAGGACATGCCAGCTGACCATCATGTTCCTCCTTTCCCCATATGCCATAAATGTCCCAAATGGAAGAAGAAACTTGATGACTAAGGATTTCTTGTTTCCTCAAACAATAAAATTAAAAAATAATGGGGTTGGAAGGGACCTTAAGAGGTCACCTACTGCAGCCCCCTGCTCCAGGCAGGATCATTCCTATCTAAACCTCCCTAGATAATTGTTTGTCTAATCTGTTCTTAAAATCTTTGGGAACAACGCTCATGCACAACCACCAGGCATAATGACTGAAATATCAAAAACACCCTTTATCTTGCCACACGGTGACAGAGACACAGTCAGTGTCCTGCTATTGTAAGGATAGGAAGCAGTTTGCTAAAATCCACTCAAGCGTTCCAGGATTCCTAGCCCATATGCTGGAAAAGTCACATACTGGGGGACCACCAAACCTGTATGGTGTCATTCCAAAAATAATTTATTAGTCATTTCACTCACAGGAATATGACTAATAATCATATTGCCTAAATCGCAAGACTAAGGCAGCTTTTAAATTAATTAAATGCAAAATACGAAGGTATATTTCATAATTCGTCTGTAGACCTGCACAAAGCTGGCTTTAGCAGTTTAGCTTGTTTACTAAACTGCAGCTCAATTTTGCAGGTAAGCGAGTAGTAACTTTGTTTTAGGATCAAAAGAGAAACCATTCTAAAGTTTCAAGTATTCAACACATGCTTCTTATATAGTCCTTGGTATAACAAAAGATATCCTTGTTGATGTACTTTTGAGTTTACGGTTTCTTTTGCATTCTGTTCATCTTCAAATATTTAAAAAATATTTAAAGAGCTTTTAAATGTACTATAATTATTTCTGGCAATATATAAGAAACCTATGGGTGCTAACCCAGTGCATTCACCTTTAGAGATCTCCTTGTGCCAGCACCCCCCATCCTCTCCCTCTTTGTATTCTTTCCTGCCACATCTTGATGTAATAACCAAACAGGGAAGGCTGCCCAGAGGGTGAGGTGAGCGTTGGAGAAGTGCCACCTGCACCCCTCCACCAGAGGCTCCATCCCCAGTGTCTTCCAAGACCAGACTGCCTCTCCTGCCCTGAGGCTTGTGCTTATACAGGGCATTCTGGGTCACTTGGCCCTCCACTTCTGCCTCCTGGGTCATCAGGCACTGCCTGCACTTGGACCTGGTGGCCATCTTGTTACAGGCTTCTTTGCCTGTGAGTTGACTCTAGCAACACAAAGAAGGTGTAAGAAAAAGAAAGGAGGGGACATAGCTGGAGGTCAAGGGAAGGAGGAAACCAGGAAAAGGACACCACACAAGGAAGGGGTGAACTGGCAGCAAAATGTAAGGGAGAAGAAAGTGTCACAAACCCCTAGGTTCCCTTCCCTTTCTAGTAATGGGGTAGTGGCCTCATTACACAATCCTACTTAATGTTGCCAATGCAACTTATTTTATTATCTCTACAAGCACCATTGCATTGCTCAGAATAGTTTATGCTGCACATCTGGATTAGGTGGTTTAATCAGCTTTTCATGGCTGCTACTTGTTATAGCTCAAATATACAATTACAATTTTCCTCTCTCTGTACCTCTTTATTATTTCACTCTGCTCCTCTCAATTCATTAATGGCAAGGACCTAATTATATCATAGGAATACATTTCAATTTGCCACATCTGGTGCCATTAGAAAGACTTTTTTGGGCAGGGAGAGAGAAACCTTGTACAACTGTGTTTCTCCCACTTTCCAGTTAAGACTGCTATCAGAGAAACACAGTGCCTTGTGAACAGGAGAAATTTTGGTTCTATATGAGGAAGAAATGGGAAACCATCTTATCACCTAGCTCACATGATAAGTGAAAGATGACTTCAAGTGACACTGGGTTTAGCACCCTCTCTCTTGGGAGAAGCTGCTCTCAGAAATATAGATGACACAGGTTAAGTACAGATGTTCAAAAAGCCTGAGGCAGAAGTGCTCTGTCATGATTTATTTAAAGCACTGTAAGTTAGATCAGGAGTAAACTGAACAGACATTCACTGTTTGGTGAGGGAGCTCAGCACCTGCATGCACTGGCCAAGGCCCACCAGTAGGGGCACTCTCACACACCTCCCAAAATGCCCCATGAGCTCCCCAGGCTGCCGAAGACTCCTGAGCAGAGCCGAACAGGCATGCTGCCCCTGATTGGCTGCTTGGCAGGGGTCACCATACCCCCAACCCTCTGCTGCATCACCACAAACCCTCCCCTGTGCCTAGCCCTAGACTTCAAGAAGAGGGTCAAGGCAAGGGCAGGGGTGAGGGCCAGCCATTGTGACTAACACATACCTCTGTGTCCTGGCCTGCCCACACCCCACTATGGTGTTCTGCCACCCATACTCAAGCAGGGAGAGCCAGGAGCTGCAGCAGGTTTTGTTGGTTGCCCTGCGTGACTTGCCGGAGGCTGCAAGACATTCTGCACATCCACCTGGACCTGATATGGCAGCAACTTGTCATACTACACACCCTCATGCTAACAAGACACTAGCTGGCTGTCCCGGACATGCCTACACACTGTACCCTGTGCCTGCCAAGCATCTTGGACTGGACCACTGACTTTAACGTGGCCAATGAGGACAAGGTCATCCAGGATGCCAGGGTCTTGTGGTATCACCATTGAGCGCTGGTTCTGAGTCCATGATGCCAGCATGGACTGGTGGAAGTGGATTGTCCTGGGCACCTGGGATGTTGAATGGTGGCTCCAGACTATTGACATGCACTGGGCCACCTTGATGTTGTCACTCAGCTGGCCCCCCACATCATGCACAAGAACATCAGCATGTTCACTCCGGAGAAGTGGGTGGTCATCACTGTCATGAAGCTGGCCACCCCCAGCAGTTACTGCTCTGTTGCCAACCAGTTTGGCATGGGTAAGACCACAGCCAGAGAGGCCATCCAGGAGGTGTGCCTAGTCATCGAGGACATCTTAGCCAGCTGCTCCATCTCTCTTGTCAATCCGCAGGAGGTGGTTGCCAGCTTCTGCCACTGGGGCTGCACTCAACAAATGCAAAACCTTGGAAGGGAGGCACAGAATAACAAGCTTTTGACCTAGCACCCTACTTTCAGGGGTCAGGAGTGAAGACCAGAGCCTTCTCGATAAAGGAGTTGGACAGATTTGTGATACCAAACCCACTGTCCATCTGAGAGAGCTGCAAGGTGGGAGGAAGCTGCTGAGCTGGGGTGGGAAGAGGCTGAGGGCTGGGAGGCATTGCCACAGTGGGCACCATGGACTTCTGGCTCTCCCTTATGGGACCTCCAGCCCCAGGGCCCAGTCTTATCTTTCAAGGACCTGGGCATTGTAGCCTTCACCCATGCCTGAGGCTCATGTCATGCAGCTGACCCAAGCCTGAGGGCAGCCTATCCCCACCAAGGCTGCACAGCAGGATCCAGGCCAGGGGGGAGGGGGGTGGAGAGGGGCATGAGGACCTGAAGAGCCCCCAGACCTGGGCCCTTCAGCTGGTAGGTAGATGAGCCAGGACCAGCAGACTCTGGTACCAGATGCTACCCCAGAGAAAACCTAGCTCAGCAGGGTTGCACTCTCTCCTCCCATTCTGATCATTCCTGTGCCCCTTGGGGACTGGCCTGGAATCACTTGGGGGGTCTGCACATACAAGA